CACTTTTACGCCCATCTTCTGCCATATTTGTGCTTGATAAACAACCGTAATGTCTGTTTTTGAAGGCACTGGAGGAAATTATGGCCATCAGTTTACCTTTGTTTTTGTGGGAGTTGTAGATTGTTTTGAGGAATTTGCGATCATAGCACTTGATAAGAAAGCCCCTTATTTTGTCCGCAGGCCTGTTTACGCTGTACAGTTGAAGCATGTTCTTATTTACTCGAGCTTATCAGCTTTTTCTAAAAACTTGCCAATTTTCTAGTGCACTGCTATGTAAACGTAAAATATAGTAACTAAGTAAAGAACAGTTTTGCTTTCGTTAAAAGCTCCCCCCCCCCTCCCCGCTCCTGCCCTCGGTAGAAAATAAATTCTCAGAACGCTTCTGAATGTTTATGATTTACAGCTCAGAATAAAGCTAATAATAATTCGCTCACAAATTATCATTTCCTGTCTTTAATACACAGAATTTTAGGATTACTTGCAAGGCTGGCCAACGTTTTTTCCGCGCGATTTTATTTTGCCACCTTTTTCTGCACTGATTGCCCGGAACTTTATGTTTACTTGATATGATTACTTCCTTTGCGATTTTGTCATGTTTGCGGACATTTGACATATACTCAGAATATTGTGTTTGTGATGTTGCACTTTATGTGCAAATACACAACATTACAAAATCCAGTCTATTAAATACTTCCTTAAATGCAAACAGTTCTAAGTAAATGCCCAAATGCGAAAATGGACCTCCAACTTTTGTCCGTAAAGTCTCTTCGGAAATACTTGAATTCAACAGCGACACTGCCTGCAAATACTGTCTTCATTGAAGACATATAACTCCTATTTACAGTTCTAATCAGCTATCGGGAGGTTTCTAATGTTTGTAAGAACTTTGTTTTTAAGGACTCCAATCCCTGAATGAAACTTTGAAATGATGAAAAAACTATTTTTTCAGCAGCTTGTCGTGATCATCATTATAAAAACTCTGCGCGTATGCCTTCGCCATTTTCCTAATCACAGCCAGCTCATTTAGGAGTTTGTGGAATTTATTGAGATAAAAAGGGGCCTAACATACAGGGGTGTCCCAAAAAGTATGCACAATAAGAACTTCGATGAAAATTCAGGCCGTTGAAAGCCGCATTTCGCCTTAGAAGGAAAACGAGGCACCAATGAAATCCGTTGATTTCGAATGTGAAATTCACATTTTACTGTGACGCTATTTTTCCAAGTTTCGGTTAGATCGTGACAATCGTTCCAACGCTCGTCAGAAATGTTATCACACCACTGAAAAAACCTACATCTAAAACTTGTGTAATGATATCAACATAAGCGAAACGAAATCCCTGCTAAACGATTTTTCATTTTTCCAAAAAAACTTTGTCAGACGACTTATTTCACAATGCCTTTGTATGCTGGAAGCTTCTACCGTAATCCTACAGTAAGGCGATCGGTAATTCGCTCCAAAATAACCTGGAGCCAGCACAGATTGATACCTAAAGATCCGAAAGACATTAGCACAACAGAGTTATTAACGATTAGACAGTGTGCAAATTTTTTTTATTTTCACCAGAGAATTTATTCTTCTGCAAGAAAGATTCTCCAATGCTGCTCATAGCTTCAGTTACTTGATGCACAATATATAACAGATTTTAAACACTGTGTAAAAGTTTTAGGTAAACTGGCCTCTGTATCATTCAGAGATAGCTATCTACAATACCTAAGCGACTCCGAGAAAGTTTGATTTTAGAGATCCTGGCTCTGCAAAGTGTAGTTGAAACTGCCATAGATTTGTAAAAAGCTAATATTTGCACAGTCTGGCTGCTAACTTATAGCATTATAAGTGTCACATATAATGAATGTTACGTTTTTACTGTTTTGTTCGTCTGCTCAAACTTCAGTCATAGATTCAAAGTCTTCCAGTTTACCCAGAAGCAGTATGTAAAGTCCGCGAAAAGCTAGGTTGCACTTTTAAACCTGCAAGCACATCCTTCTACTCTCTTTCATTAAGACTCGCCCTTGCAATTAAAAACATGCACATTTATTAGGTTGTATAATAACTTCTGTCGCATTTTTTGGTTCGGTTCTTTCTTTATAATTTGTGCTGTGTTTGATGAATAGTGCATGAGCTTTTAAAGGCTCTTATCTACCTTTGGTTTCTCATTTTGAGAATGTACAAGAAATTTCTGGCTTCAGTACTGAAAATCCAATTAGGTTTCAGATATGTCAGCATACTTAGAAAAAAGCCGAAAAAATTGCGAACGGTGGGAGGAGATGTCTATAATCCAATAGGCTGCTTGGTTCGAAAAAATTTCGACATTCCATTTTGTAACCTGAAAAAAAGCATAGAGGAAGAAGATGTCGAAAATGGGTTTTTCCCCCTCAGGATCCTTGTTTTGAAGCCTAAAAGTTGTTCTTTCTCTGATTGAACAAACGAGGTAAAAATTTGAGTAGTGGAGACTTTCACTACTCACTTTCACACTTCATCAACCACAGCAGAAATTTAGAAAAAAACTAATTCAAAAATGCGGCAGAACTTAATACACGTGTCAGCATTAGTGAGAATCCTTCACCATGTTTTAAGAAACATTCCACGACAACATTTTTATCACACAGCAATGTGTGACCAACCTTTTGAATCACATATCAAACCCATAGAATCTATTGATCAGTCATGGTCTTTTGTTCACGAAGATCTGACATTTACGGCATTTTTTGCATGTTCTTCTTCCAGAACGTTGAGTCACTTCAGACGTTTCTCTCACGTATTCTTTTTCGTTTTCCAACTTTCCAGAAGGATAAAATCTTTACCTTATTAGAGACTATTCCATTGTGAGAGCTCAGTTACACTGTAAAAAAGAAATCTTAAGTATTGAATAGTAGAATAACTGTTAATTAGCTAGCCATATAATTCATCCCTAAAATGATTTTGACCTTTGCCCTCAAGGCTAAGTGAGAATGCCGTCCAGTCTTACATTCAAAAAGCTTCACTCTTATTTCAGAACCAAAAGCGCTTTTCTAACAATAAGTTGCCAAAGCATAGCTAAGTATAGAAATGATTGGAGTCGTGGTATATACTCCACTGTAAACATCGGGGGTTTTGAAGGCTGTTAGTGCGATTGCACAAGACGGCTCGAATCTTGGGATCATCTGCACTTTCTCCTTCCTGAAGGTGCGCACACGATTTGCTTGAAAAACGAAATTGAAAAATTCAGTTGAAGACTGTTATCGTATTTGTTTGAAGCTCATGATTATCACTGGTATGCAATTATATGGGACTGAATGTGTATTGTTAGAACTCGAAATGAAGTCATCGTAAAGCAGTCTCAAAAGAAAATTCTTTTCTGTGTGCTCTTGAGCGATCTTCGAATAAGTAGGATATAATCATTTCTCGTTCGCTAAGCACTTGGAAAAATTCAAGAAAAATTCAAAACCTGAAATTGTAGGCTGTACATATTTTTAATTTTTAATTACATATCTCTAACTTGCTCTTCTAGTCTTTCCTGCTTACTTTTATAGTATGTCTGCTTTGGAAGATTGCCTTCAATAGCATTGGATCTTCGTTCGCGATTCCATCATCCTTGCCCCTAGTTATTGTGCTACTTGTGACTTCAAAAGTAATAATGCGCAAAAGTTGTTTCTCGTCATTTTGAACGCGAAAATGCTGTTTGGGCCTGAAGGGAAACGGTCGTTGGTCAAAAACTGAATAGCCATTGGGTTTTGAAGTAGTCAGCCAATCGCCGGAGGGGAGGAGGAGGGGGGGGGGGGGTGGGGGTCCCCGCCCACCAAACTGTTCCCAACTCTCCTGCCCCCATCGCTACTCCCTCGCTACCATCTGGCAACTCTCAAGTCTTGAATTATACAGGGTGTCCCAAAAAAATGTTAACACTGTTTGATCGTTAATAACTCCCTTGCTTTCAAGTCTTTCGCTGACCCTTAGGTACCTTTTTGTAGAGCGAGGATAAACTTAAATTTTCAGTATTGAGCGAATCATCCAACGCTCCTCGTTACTGTAGAATTACGGTAGGAAATTCCAGCATGTGAAACCGTCGTGAAATAAGCCCTCTGACAAAATTTTATCCAAAAAATCTGAAAAATTGTGTACTAGTGTTTTCGCGCACCCTGATTTTACTACACAACTTTTTACGAGTGTTTTCAGCTTTTTTGACGGTGTAATCACAGTTTTGACACGTGCTGGGAAGTCAGTTATTACACTTTACCTAGGATAACTTTGAAAAGAAGTGTCATAATGAAGTGAAAATTTCATATGCGAAATCAGCGGCTTTCATTACCATAGTAAAAAAGATTTTAGCTTGTTTGGCTCTGTTTCGGAGCAGAAAATGGGCTTTAATGGCCTAAAATCCTTGTCAAATTTCCTACCGTGATTCTACAGTAGCGAGGAAAGTTAGATAATTCGCTCGAAACTGTAAATCTAAGTTTATCCTCGCTCTACAAAACGGTACCTAAAGCTCGGCGAAAGACTTGAAAGCAAGGGAGTTATTAACGATCAAACAGTGTTAACATTTTTTTGGGACACCCTGTAGAAAAACGGGTTTTGCATCTATGGAGTTCAAACTATGGAACGCAGTCTTGGAAGTTTAGACCCGTGAATATAGGTCTCCAGATCTGCAAATTTGTTGCTCATATGCTATCTTTGCACGTAATTTCTACATAAATTGTTGCGCTTGCATTAGACTTACTACCGAGAAACACCACAAAGGAATTGTTGACCTCTGATGCTAAAAACCAATCGAACATCCCGGGGTGATCGCGTTCGCGCGGTGTAAATGACCCGTAGTGCACTTGCACTTTGCTGCGGACTTAGTGCATTACCGTAGCACTTAAGTAGCCAAAGGTGAGTTTCGAACCGAGATCACCCCACTTATTTTTGTCTTTTGTTAAGGCTTTGAGTGCTTTGTATCTTTTCATATCATCTCGTTGCTCCGATTGTCGTCGATTTCTGTGATATTTCGTCTTGTCATTATCCTTTGATCAGTTATCATGTCCACCGTGTCTCCTTTAGCAGATGAGTTTGCTGGAAGAGGCTCTTTGCAGAGAGCGGGAGAAGAGGGTTCTATCTATTCAAAGTCATGTTGTGCATGGTTATGCGGGTAATAAGGCGTCAGTATTTCCTCTACAGGTATTTATTTTTTGAGAACTTTCAGGCTTTTTGCTGATTTTCTTTTTGATTTACGTATTTTAGTGTATATTTTCAGTTACACGGTTTCGAAGTTGATCCCGTGAACAGCGTGCAGTTCAGTAACCATAAGGGTAATATCGAGTTCTTGAATCTGCCTAAAAGTGATTTGCCTTTCCCTTTGCCTTCTTGCTGTGCTTTGCTAACTTTTCTGATTTTCTAACGACAAATTCTTACACTGGTCTTAATGGAGGCTTTTCAGAGTCAATTTTCTTCATTTTGTTGATTCGGGAGTCTATTTTCACTTCCAGGGTACGAGCATGTCAAGGGGCAGAAACTTACTGAGGTAGAACTAACGGAACTTTTTGAGGGACTGAAGCTTAATGATCTCGATGAGTACACTCATATCCTTACAGGTGAGACCGTTCTTCGTTTACCTTCTGCTTTATTTGTCTTTTTGATTTCGCTTTCAATGAATTCCGTTGTAGATAAAAATGTATAGCCTTTTTTACCTAGTGATCTCGCTTAAGTCATTTCGCAACAGAGTTTGCGTTTGTGTGTCATCCTAAAGGATTACAGACTAGCAAGATATGGTCTGTGTTCGAGGAGTTTTCGTATAGTTTGCGTCGTGAAACCCATTTCAGCTACCGCGCAATACAGCCCATTTGCTGCTTTTAAGGCTTGGTCATTGAAGCAAAAAGGTATGGATATTTTGGAAAGATGAGCCAAAGGCTGCGAAGTCGCGAATTAGCGGCATCTTATTGTGAGGAAGAGCGTTGAGAGATATTACTCACTTCTATCTCCCCTCCCCCCTTGTGTTCGACGGTTTCTTCTGAAACATTTGAACCCATCCTTTCTGCAGCATAAGCTTTCAACTCGATAGGCTGCGTAGCGGGCGTAGCTGTGGGCCTTTCCGTTCCCGTTCTGCAAGACTATGAGGAAAAGCTTTTTTTTTTCTTGACGCTTTCCATCATAATCATGCTTTTCTGTATAGTACACTACACGTGTACTTTTCAGTTGAAAATTTTTGGAAATTTGCATTTTTGCACGCTTTTGCGTGAACTATATACGAAAAAGGCAGCCGTAGCAGGATTTCATGCATCTTTTTTTGTTTAAACCGGCATGTTTATAGCCCGCTCATATTTCGAATCACTTTCTTTGTGACATCTACAAGTGCTTTACATACTTTCTTACATTAGTTTCTGTTTCTTTCATGTTATTGTGGAGATCCTTCATTTCTGAGGAAAATAGCCGATATTGTGGAAGAGCTGAAAAGAAAGGATCCGAATACTCTTTTTGGTAAGCTTAAACGAAATCTCAGATAATTTAACCTCTTACTGCTCTTTATTGCAGTTTGCGACCCAGTGTTGGGAGATAATGGAAGATATGTGAGTTCGTCCATTTTTCTTGGGGTCACCCTTAGTTTTGTTTCTAAACATCTTGTTTTCCTTTCCTTTCTGTTTGAATCGATCATCTTTCAAGTACGTGCCAACGAGTTTACTTCCCGTATACAGAGATGTAGTTGTGCCTTTAGCCAACGTGCTGACACCGAATGCCTTCGAGCTAGGGTAGGTCTTATACCGAAGTGGAAAGTGCTACACGACCAATTATTTTTTTGCAGTGAATTAGTTGGTTTTGTCATATCAAATGAAGACGATTGTATACGTGGTATGGATGTTATACATGACATGGGCGTTGAGACCGTCGTAGTCACTAGCGGTGTAGAGGAGAGTCAGACACCTGAAACCCTGTGCTGCTATGCTAGCCATAAAAGTGATCTTGCTTTACTCTTTCGGATTTATATGATTACCTCATATAATAATTTTTTTTGAATTTTTGGCAAGTTTTTTGATTTGATCGTGTTTGCAGATGTTGACGGCTCCACGCGGCGATACCGGTTCCGATTCCCGCGCATCTTAGGACAGTTTGTTGGTACAGGGGACGTTTTTGACTCTCTATTGATAGCTTGGTTGGACAATACTAATAATGATGTTCGTGACGCAGTCGGTCACGTTTTGGGATCGATGCAAGGACTTTTGAAGAAAACTAGTCAGTATGCACAAGGTATGTTAAAATTTTGCCTGTTCAAGTTCTGACTTTGAAATCTATTAGTTAGCGAGGCTGAATTCGATCGAGTTTTCTTCATCTGTTAGTAAACCTTGAAAGGTCAGCTGTTTCTGGAATGGAAGCCATCATGACAATACGTGTTTGCACATGTACAATACCGCTCATATTATTTGAAAAAACGACGAACAGTCGCCCGATGCATGTGACATTGCCGTAGCGTAGCCATGCCCTCGCTTCAGAGGGGGCGAGTTCTTTTATTCCAAGGGCACCATTCGACTCAGCTCAGCGCGACGCATCTTTTTATATATACTGCCAGTTTGGACAGAGTAGGACGTCAGATGAAACGAACTGTTTCATATTTCTGCTTACGGTAGGTTACTCAGTGTGCTTACTCATTGCACCGCTAGACAACCTACCTAAGCAAAAATCTGAAAGGATTAGTAGAATCTGACCTTCTACTGTGTCCAAGCGGGCACTTATATACATCAGAAAATGCGCGGCAATGAGCTGAGTCGAATGGTTTCCTTGGATTAAGAATTCGTTCACTCTGAAGCGAGACATGGCAACTCTACGATGATGTCAAAATCGGGCGACTGCGTGTCGTTTTCAAAAATTACGAGCGATATTGTATCAGCCTTCATCCGGCAGTGGCCTTTACTTTCAACGCGTTTATGCTTGAAAACAATGCAGAAAAAAAGATTTAAGAGAAATAATTGGAAATTGAAAATTGTCATTGCTCAGTATCAACATTTCAGCACAAGTCGACAAAAACTCAAGGAAGACTTGCGAACTTCGGCTAGTCGAGTCACGATTCGAACTACTAGTGCCAGAAAAGGTGTTCGAGGGAGAAGTGTTATAATACTAAAGATAGTCACTCACATAGATTTTGATTAGGTTTTTATAGTGTCTTAGTTTACAAATTGCCCATTCCTTGTTTTATAGCGCCATGTGCGAATCATGCCAAATCTCATACGACAAACTCTTGGACAATGCCTATACTGGCTATACACTTGATAATAAATTATTCATTCTGGAAAATAAATCATTTTATAGCATGACAATAGAAATGTGTCAGACTGTCAGAGGTAGCAACAATATACAGTATACAACTCCTGCGTTATAATTTGTGAGGTAGTAGATATGAAGATGAGCAAATTAGTTAAAGTAAATCATCAGGATGTTGAGTTCTTTAGTGGAGGGGTGCCAGTGATCGAAAACCCGTGCATCGTTGAGCAAAATTATTGCATTGGAAAATATGTGAGTCTGGGCTGATTTAGAAGTGAAAAGGCAGTAATTAAGAATAGTAAGTTTTTGGGTGTTTAATGTGAAACTAATTGGGGAGCCTTGACTAAGCCATTTTTCCAAACGGCAGTACACATCATCTTTTCATGGCCGAGAAATTTGACCCACAGTAGACCAGACCGTACGATCCAATTACCTATACGGTTTGGGCCAGAGATCAAAGATAACCTGCCGCGTGGTCAGGGAATTAACTCAGGCCACCCTATCAGTATTCGCATGAGAAACCCAGGTTAACAGGTTTGCTTTCCTGGTTGAATTTTGAGAAACTTCTCAGCTCAGCCGTTATATTGGCAACTATGAGCTATTTGTCTGTTTGTCGATTATCTACAACTATTCCATAGCATGCTTCCGAATTTGGAGTTTCGTTTGCGATCATCGAGCTCGATGATCTGCGCCGACAGCTTGGCTGACATTCGTATACCCGTCTTGCTTCAAAAGTTCCACCAGTTCTCGCTTTACCTATAAAAGTGTCTTAAATGAAGCTGAAAGAATAGATATGTATCTTATATTGTGTAGGGATTACAGTCAGGGCCCGGCGGGGGTGGCGCTTTCACAAGCTGGATATCGTTTTTGGCCCGAAAAAGCAAAGGAGAAGTCGTATTTTGGGACCCCAAAATACGATCCCCTTTTTTTACCGATAAACAATGCACATATCATTCTTTATTCATCATTCCTTGTTGATGCTACTGTCCTATGAACTTAGATTCTAGCAAGGTGAAGATTCTGTGCTCCGATCGCTAGCCTGCCGGCAGGCGGGAATTCAAATCGCAATTCTTGTAACAGGAAAATAACAAAATAGGCTCGTTTTCAATGCACAAGTAACGATATGACACCAAATTTGCTGCATAGTTGGAGGACCATGAGCACAAAAAAAGTATGAAAAATTATGAAAAACTTCTGTGAATTAAAAAAATGGTAAGTGTTTTTCGAAATTAGGTGGCTCCCGCGCCACCTGGGAGCCACCTGGGGTGGCTCCCTGCTTCCCTTCACATAATTTCCCGGATTTCTTTACATAAATGTGGCCTAGGTCGAGAGTATTACTACATGTTCAAATCCGCTTCCAAAACCACTAAGGCACCGCTTAGATACAGGCCCAAATAGGGCTCACAGCGTTATGATCGGCCTCGGAAAGCGCGCTCCAATCGAAATCGGTGCACCTTGCACGGACGACGCGGTAACTTCTAGAATTTGACTTCTTGCTAGGCTAATGATCGCTAAATGAAGCAGTTTTCCCAAATTTCAAACCATTGTTTCTTCGATTCATGCTTGCATGGGCTCGCAATGAAGGAGCGGTCACATGTGGCTGCGATGTTTTGTGCAAAAAAATGTTCCACAAGAGAATTTCTCCTGTTTCCGCAGTTCCGTCGGTTTTCCGGATTTTTGTGTTCTGTTCCGTCGCGTGTTCGTTTTCTTCCTTGTTTTCTTCTTGTTCCTCTATGCTCGTTGTTGCAGCTACGTCGATGTCATCGGAAGTGCGTAGAAAGTTATTGATAAGATCGGATAAAGTCAAATCGGTGGACCTCCATCCCACTGAACCGTGGTTATCTGCTGCTCTCTATACTGGAGACGTTCAGATATGGAATTTTGAAAGCCAAAACTTGTGTTTGAAAGTAGGTTCCTTTCTTCATTTTCATTTTAAAGTGTTTTTGTATGTTAGACCCCGGCCAGACTTCGCTCAAAATTGTTCACTCATGAATAAGTTCCTATTTGGCAAATAGTTAGTTGAGCTTTGACTGGTATTTCTGAGATGTGTTGGAAAGCGGGGTTTGTCGTTTTTGAGCGGTTTTGGGAGATTTGATCGAAGTCTGGCTGGGGCCTTATGGTGCTCACTCTATTTAAGCCCAGTGTCTGAATGGGGTCATAAACTTGCGCAAATTTTAGGTTTGCGATTCCCCAGTGCGTGCCGTCAAGTTTTTTCCAAGTAAAACTTGGATTGTGACCGGATCAGATGACATGCACGTCAAAATCTACGACTACACCACATCGCTCCTAGTTCACCAGTTTCGGGCTCACTCAGACTACCTCAGGTGGGTGAACTTGATTTATGCCAGTATGGTTCGTTTTTTGCATTTTTGGATTTCTGGTTTTTTATGTTTTCTTTCTTTTTTGCCTCTACTGGGCTGTTACCAAAGAGAGGGCGGTGAGATTGCGGCCTTTGCTCACCATTAAGGTTTCTCGGTTTTATTTTTCGAGTGAGACGCGTTTCTCTTCTCCAACGAGATGCTATTCATCTGAAACAATTTTGTGAAGTGTTGTTCTACTTTGGGCTTTGTTTGAGCAAGGGCCGCACAATACGAGGGAAGTTCGCGACAAGCTCAGCCCTAAATTAACACGTTTCGGACCGCGAAATCGCGCGCGGCGAAAAAGATTTCATCTCTCCACTAAATCTTGCTTCTTAGGCACCCTCCATACTTCATCCTTTTGATGCGCTATTTATTTATGCGCTCCTACTTATTTGTGCATATTGTTGTCACAGAATTAGGGGGCCAAAAATAGGGTCAAAGGGGAAGTCGTAAGAAAATTGGCTTCAAAGGGGATATCGTTTCCAAATTTCTGAAATGCCACCTCCTGCCGGGCCCTGATTACAGTCTCTGTCAACAAGTAATCCCTTTTGCGTAATAGGTACGCAACCGCGACGCGAGGGCATTTGCGTGCGGATGCCACCCGACCAGTCTAGATACTCAAGTCATGGGGCGCAAACGTGTCACGAAGCTCTGGCGTCTTAATTGCGCATATGGAAAAAAGTAACGCGCAGTTGCCACAGGCTGTGCATTCCCCCCCCTCCCCCTCCCCCGCCATTCTACTCCAAATTTTTGGTCTCCAAAATCAAAACATTACCTTTCCGACAACAGGAAAACCATGGAAAACGAGAGCTGAGTAAAGCTGCACCACAGATGCGCCAGCCTTGATCTTCTCATATGCATCTGCGCCACTGGAAATACCACCGCATCCTATTATTGGCACTTGTCCGTTGGTTAACCTGAACCAAATTCTTTTGATTCTTTGAGACAATCCGAAATCGATATTTTTGATATATACTATGTATACTCGAATTAACTTAATACGTGCATTGCACACCATGCGCGCAACTTGACGACTTGTAATGTCAAAACCTGCTCATTTTCGGTGATATCTCCTTCTTTCTTGCCTCTTTTAGCTTGCTTGGATAAGTATCAGTAAATAAAACACATTTCTACACTTTGTTGCTCCAGAAAATGTTTAACTGAGGATTAAATAGTGAGGGTGTCGTCGATTGCCGCGCATGATGTGCAAACTCACATATCATGTTACAAATCTCGACGCTACCTGTACATCTCTCGAACGCATTCCGTGCTAATTCGGCGCAACGGAGCTCCGCTAAGTCCACCGATTTCTAGTCGATTTTCACTCTTAAGATTGTCCGGTCGAGTGCTAGTGGTGTCCGAAACGATAAGACCATCGACTCCATTTTTCGGATCTAGGGAAAGCTGAAAAATAATACTTAGTTTTGTAGTGAAGAAAGAAAATATTGATTTTGCCCACCGATGCAACATTCTTCTTTTCGATTTCACTCAGATCTGGGGGAATTTTTAGAAGAATTCTAGGCCTAGACTCCAGCTGTGAGCAGTCCAATAGATGTTTAGCATATTGCATAAGCTGGAATATAGCAGTTACATTTCATATAGACCTATTTTAAGGACTCACCTTTTTTAGTTCACCATTCTTCCCCACGAAAGTTGGATTCCGTGCATTAGTTGGGGAAATGTTTATCACAATGTAGTCGCTATAGGGTGCAAAATAGTTCACGCCAATCTCGTAGTCTAACCTGCAATCAATGCATTTCAGTAACAGAGTATTCCAAAAAAAAAAAACGAAAAATGACGTTTGCATCTACACAATTCAAGGCCAAGCCAACTATGAGCTCAAAAATTGACTAGCAAATTTCCTTCTTATTTTTCCTCTTTCTTTTTAAGCTTACGACCTTCCTTAATTACTAATGTTGTCCTGGAAAGGTTGTGTTCCTATCCTTTTTCCATCTTGTGGATGAAATGAAATAGAACTTGAATATATTATTCGCTAATTTTTCTTCCCTTTTCTTTTTTCTTTTGATACCATTGTGTAGGGTCCGTTTTAAGAAGAAGTTTCATTTGGCCTGCAATCTTTGGAATTTTGTAATAAATATCACACTGAGATCAAAAAATGAATCGGAAAGTAAAAAATTTTGATTGAGACATAAGCCTCTGCAAGAGCTCATATAAGTGAAATGAAATCTGTTTGTTGTCTCCCTGGTGAATTTATCCATAGAAACACAACAAATAGCAGCCCAACACTTCGTAGGTTCAGCTATCCCAGTATCCGAAAAATTTTTGTGACTTGCCACCATGGAATCATGGGCAAGGCGTTCTTAAAAACAAAAACTCCTATTTGTGGTTTCCAAGTCTCCTCTCTTCTTAACCTCGGCATTGTTAGTTAGTATGTTGTGAGTAGTTAGTAAGCCAATCGAGGTTAGTATTTATTAGTAAGTGGCGGCCTAACGTTTCGAGCTATTCGTCTTCTTCAGAGGCCTAAAGTGGTAAGAGATTTATGATTTTATGTCTACCCCACCAAAAACCTCCTCCATCCCCGGCTAGCCTCGACGTTGCCCCAGAATGCTACAAACAAAAACTCCATAAACTCCTATTTGTGGTTTTTTTCACAGTTAGTTTGTTCAAGGGAGTTATGGACGTTGCGTGACTATCTTCATTTCACGAAATTTTAGTCTCAATCTTTTCGCAGGTGTAGTTTTCCATAACGAACCAATTTCTGACTTTTATCTTAAGAATAAATGGTACAATCATGATTTCAAGTATCTTTTCAAACATGAAGAAGTATTTTGGGTTCGAAGGAAAAATGACTTTTTTCAAGTGAAAGTCTTTTGGCATTATGCACCAAAGTTATGATTTTTGCATTTCTGAACTTCGAACCCAAACTACTTCAGGTTTGAAAAGGTACTTGGAATTATGATTGTGGCATTAACTGCACCAAAGGCATGATTTGCATTTCTGATCGTACGATCAAGCTCATAGTTCAGCTTTGAAGTGTAGACGACCCCACATTTTTGGAGCCATTCAGAATCTTCTGGTAAAAATCTCTGTAAATACTCACATTGAATCGTCTGTAAGCATATTGTTTGCAAGACTTATGCCTAAAATGGCGGCATTCTCCATCCATTCAGTTCTTGCTGATCGCACTCGCAAATGTACTTTGCCAACGCCGTCGCTATTAGAACCGTAACGGTTGATCAATCCCTGTATATATATAGGGTTGTTAGTCAAAGTGCAAGCAAATAAAAGTGCAAAATCAGTACTTCATCTTCTTCCAACCGGAATAGACGAGGTCGAGGGTTACCCTTATTCGGTATAGGAGTGACTGAGCCAATTTCGATCAAACCGAATCCGGACAGCTCCGCTAATGGCCGAATTGCTTTACCGTTCTTGTCGAATCCCGCAGCAAGTCCGACTGGATTTTTAAGCGATTTTCCGAGGAACTGAAATAGGACTACTGGTCTTGTTGTCTTATAAAAAAATGACAGATGGATGAATTCGGCCCCACCAATTCGAACGAGTTGGACAGAAATGTTACATTTGGATAACAGAATCTCTAGATCTACGACTTTTCCGCATTCAATCCAAACCTGTTTTGTCGTGGACAGAACAGCTTGACTTTAGCGGATAAAGGTTGTTGTAGAACGAAAACCGAAACTTAATTTTGGTTTTACTGAACCTTCTAGCATTTTAATTAAATTTGAAAATATAATAGTTATAAAGTTGGATATGCGCAGCTGATTTTGCTTCAATCACGAATGCAAGTGAAGACCGGAATTTTTTTGGCTTCTCGAAGAAGAATTGAAAGAATATGTTTTTGAACAAATGCGCTACTTGGAGTGAATGAATCGGAACCTTCTCATAAAAATAAAATTTCATTTGAAGAAAAAGGAAGAGAGGCTGTTGAAATGAAAGGATGGATGTATTGCATAATGATAGAGCCGAAATTGAAGAAGAATAAAGCTTTAAAACTACGCACCTACCTCACACTTTAATTCTGGATATTCTTTGCGATTACTGCCATATTTAGGTAGAAAACCCCATGATGCGAATCGTAGAGCGAGGTTTTGCGATGATTCCACATCCATATAGCGATTAATCACTGGTAATAGCTGAAAATTTGGCAGAGTTCATTTGTACGTGAGATCTAGATAATACTCTTACAGCTTTGGACTGGAAGGTTTCGGAGCTAAATAGTAGTTCAGTGGCTCCGTATCCCAGTAAACCGCCACCAACGATGTAAATCGCTGATCTTGAGATGAATGGTGGGGATGTCCTCGAAAACATCCTTAGACCTGAGCTAATCTAGCTCCCTTTAGCGACACTGAAAAAAAAACTGGATTTTATTTTCAAATCGAAGTTGAAGGAAATTCAGTAAGCCAACATGCATATTCATTCATCTACTCTGAATGTGTCTTTTTCGACATGCTAGACATAGCAATAAAATCATTAAAAGGCCAAATTTTGTATTTCATTGGATATTTCACATTTGCCGTTGTTTCACCATTTAGATGCAAGAAGTATACTGGCAGATGCTTAAAAGATTTTGGAGATAACACCATAATCTTGATTTTTTAGTTTCGCAGACAAAAATAATGTTAACAAGCTGAAGAACTTTCTGGAATGCTCAATTTTCGGATTTCTTAGATTTTGAGCAAGCTTTTCATCGGAATGCATGAGTGAAGTCATTTCAGTAACAGTTTGAGAGTTCAAAAATACTCTTTCGAATTTCTAGAATCAATTTGATGACGAAATTGGAGTAATTAAAGAAAAATATGCCTGAAATTAAGCGATGAAGACATGGCCCTAGGCTGCGCCCGAGTTGCGCGTGCCAGCACCGTGCCAGCGTCGTGCTAGCACGGTCAAAACGTTGATCGAATTTTATGCGCTTTGGACGGTCGGAATGTCGAGCTTGAAGAAATGTGAGAAAATAATAAAAAATCGAATGGAATGAATAGAAACCATTTATTACTCTATTATTACCCCTTGATAAGACTTATGAAGAAATCGACAAAGTCTGCAGATGGATTTTTCGCTTTTGTTTGCACTTATTTACTGGGTGTAGAATTCTCACTTATAAGCTTTTATTATAACATAAAAATTAGCAGATCTTTATCTTTGCTTTTCTTGCCACTTATATGTAGAGCAAAGCACTGAGTGAGTAAGTGGAACATAGAGAAGTGACCAGAGACATGAAAAGAGCCGGAAGTAAAAGATGAACAATGAAAGTGATGAGAAAAAATAACTACAAAATGAAGAATAAGTTGAAGCAAATGACAACGAGATCAAAAAGTACCATTTTTTTTTGCAAATGAGCCTTAATTTATCTGGAGAATGTTTTGTGCGGTTTGATATCAGACTATATTCTTCTAGCAAAGAACGTGGACTTCAAAAGATTGTTACTTTGGGAAGTTTTCAATTTTGACGAGTCTCCTCTCGTCCTAAAGGAATCAAGAATAAAAATCAAAATAATTGATTCTGATCTTCCCGTTAGAACTTCAAAAGGTCATCAATAGGTCAAAATCTTTTAAGGGCAGGACTTCGAGGCGATAAGAATAGTTCATCACAGAAGAACTCATAGTGGTTACAACAGCGCCGTCACGTTTTTCACCCTCCTCCCTCCCCTTCCCTCCCCCCTCACACACACAAGAAACTTGTTTTTCCGGTGTTGTCACTCCGCTGTACTTTACTCGAGTAATCGCCGAGATGAAAGAACAGGTTGCGAGACGCACAGGCACTACGAGCAATTGTCGTCACTGATCCTTAGTGTTGGTGTAAAACCATTCTTTTAGTTGTTTTTTGAGCTTCGCTTACTCAGACTGAGGGCATCAGAAAACACGTTTTTTGCCCAGCAAAAAAAAACATTGGGTTCGCGGTAAACAACGCTATGGTCTCAAATTTGTGAAATATCAATAAAAGACCATCCAAAAGTTCATAAAATCGCGAGAATCCACCCGAGAGTTTCCTTGATCTGAATTTTTTGTAGAAAATAAAAAGAACACATATAACCTATTCCCTTTCGTTTCCTTTCCTTAGAAGAAGTATATTCTAAGCCTCCTTACTATACAAAATTGGAGAGAAAAACGCTGTAAATTGTCAGTATCTCGAACGTCATTCAAATTTAGCAATTATTCTCAGAAAAGATGAAGTCAATCACGCCACTCTTTGGTCTCCAAATTCACTATGACTTACTAGCTTACAGTCTGATGGAACGAACTGATGAAGACCTTAGGGAGATGCTAACCTTGAAAATGAAAATTGTATTATAAAGTAGTATTTTTGAAAGATGATCTGTTGATAAAAGCGCTGACAAAAAAGATGAAATTTGGGAAAGCGGCAAGCTTTTTAGGTTTTTTTCCTTATGCCAGCGATACTTGCTGTATGCTATTTTCATTTCAAATTAGAAGCATAAAAAGTTAAAGTTTCTTTTCTAACGAAACACTTTTGATGTTCTCAATTCCAGTATAGAGACCATCGAATCAATAAAACATAATGTGAGAATAAACAAATTCTGAATTTAATCGTTAATAGATTGTATATCAATTTTCAGGCGATTCGGTAATTAGCGTAGGATCCTTTGACCAATATGTGACTTATTCAACAAAAGTTATAGATGATCTACTAACAATAAGAAACATAACAGCATTATCGACATTATACCAGTTGTCCAGAAAAGAGAAGAACAAATTGCGACTGTGTCAGACTTCTAGAACTACATTCCTTTTGAAAATGTGCAAATCAAAACAGCCCCAATGGAATGTACATATGTACAGACGAAAGTAGAAAAGACGCAAGTATGAGCGAAAAGTGCTGTTCGAGTGTAAATTATGAAAAAAATAGTGCATTCAAGAAAAAAACTGTCAAGACGCAGAGACAACTATGTCAACGCGTAAGATCGATCGTTGATCTTTTTGCCCAGCATGCTGCAAATTTTTACATGGTTTTTGGTAATACAACAAAAAGGGCGCAGAAAGCAGGGCATATTTGAAAAAAGCGAGGTTGCGGTACGATGGAGCTAAGCAATTCTGTGATCAAGATGGTAGGTCACAATTATTTCGGCAAAAACCTGCTTTATTTTTAGCATAGAAAACTTAAGAAGATTTAATTCAGTAAGTTTTCTCTCAATGTCTTTGAGCTGATATTGAACGGTATCGATGAGTCTCACAGTAATGTTCCTTCCATTGCGGGGACAGTACCGCTCACAGAACATGCAAAATTTCTGAGATTGCTGCGAAATTGCGCAGTATCCCGTTGATTACGAGAAATTACGGAATATCCAGCTAACACAGTAAATCAAGGAATTCGCTTGGATGAGCTGAGCACAGTTTCTATTCAGCTTCAGAATATATTCGTTCTGAAAATAATCATGGTCCTGCGTAATTTGCGCGATTCGAGTGATTTCGAGGAATCAAAGGAATATCTCGCAAAAACTGAAACGCCTCGGAATCTGTGACATCTGAAAATTGTGCAAGTTTTTTGGGCGATATTGTACACTGTTAGAAATCTAAAACCCTCTGGTTTGTGGGAACGGCATTGCCTTCAAAGTGTTAATAAATGTTAGTTTCCAATTTTTTAGAAGACTTTCCTGTAAAATGAACGAAAAAATATATCATTTTTTTACTGGAGTCTCAGACAAACTATCATCAATTGTTAGTTCAAATATGAAAATTGTTGCCTAATTGATAGTCAAGGATTGATAATATTTGGTATTTAAACAATAATTATCATTAAATACCATTTTTGATATCACTCGTTAGCGCTTTATAACAGGAATGTCCGGAAAGTGCATTGCATCAATCGCAAGTCATCATAATGTGCAATGAAGTTTAGAGGGACATGTCAACCTTTGGTAGACGCATTAGACTTATAATTGTTTTTGAAAAATTTATTTGAATAACTCCATGAAAAATGAACCTGTTGCAATAACGACGGAGAACATTTTCGAATAAGCGAAAACTTTCTGAGGTGCTTCTGCGAGAAAAATTCTTGGTGAGATAGCAAAAACTAGGTGGTGGAAGCGATGCTATCGCAAAAAATGTTGATCTGAACTGACGGGCGCAAACAAATCACAGAACATAACGGCCTCGACAACTCTTATCGCTCACACAACGCTACTCGTAGTGCAAACAGAAGAGAGCAACAAGCTATTGCAATACATTAGTTACAGAATGACAAAAAAGGGCAATGGATAGAAATCGAGCAATGATTTTGAAATTTATAAAGTTTAAACCATAATATCTTTGTATTTTCAATCGTTATGAAAGCTAACGGGAGTAGATCATGAATGGGTTGCGAAAAACAATTTCAAAAATATTTATTCCAAAACAAACTCCAGGCTCCAAGTAATCGAAGTGGGGCGCGGGAGTGGAGTTAAAAAAGAGTAAAAGAAGTAGCATGAACCCGCATTCTCTCGTACCTATTCAGTCTCTACCCTTGCTGCTAATCTTATTTTACCTTATAAGTTAATATGAGGATGAAGAAGAGAATAAAGAGCATCATCAACATTAAATGCAGGATTTTATAGAGTGGTCGCTATTGTTAGACAATGCACCATCGCGGATGCACTTATATTATTATCTGCCCTTGTGACAAAGTAAAAATGAAGTACCCCGATAGCAGAAGACTGCGTTAAAAATTTGATGGTTCTTTGAGTTTGATAGCATTGATGTACTTACTTATCTATATGAACCTTGAAATGGCTTCAGATTTTCTTCTGTGCTTGACCTGTCGTTTCGACAATTTCGTCTTTTTCGGAGGTGTGAAAGTGGACGACATTGCTACTGTCAGCATAACTAACTTCTCGTCTGGATTTGTCTTCTGCTTCCTCAAAGTTCAACTACGAGGAAAAATTTTGAGTATATTCCATCCAATCAAATTTGTAGTCCGCACTGCTGTTAGAACATTAGCGAAATCATCAATCAATTTTCAGAGTGTAAGAGAGGCCATCCCGGGCATCCTCAATCCCGACCTCCACCGGCATTCCCTCAATACAAAGAGCCATGTATTCTGGTGACCTTCACTTTGAGCGGTATAAGAGAACACATCCTTCAATATCATCAGCAGCAGGGGCGAAGCTCACATGTTAAGATCATAAGTATGTTGGAATGGATGTGAATGTAAGTATAGTGAGTAATATTTTGAAAATAACCCAGCAAAATCGAAAAACTACGCTCATAGAGCCTTCTCTGAGCTAAAAACGAGGTTTTGTGTAAATTTTCATGGAACTCATGACGACATTTTTCAACTGTCCTCTTTCCAACTATGATAGAGTTCCAAAAACTCACGAGAGCTTTTGCAGTTCGATGAATCAAGAAACTGCGCCTCCGTATCTGCTGA